CCATGTTGAGAAAGTGTCAATCGGATGCAACGCCGGTCGTAGACTTGGAAGACATTGAGATTCAAGACGGAGCAACCTATGAAGAACAACCGGTGAAGATTCTTGACGCCAAGGCGAAAGTGCTTCGCAACAAAGTAATCAAATTGGTGAAAGTCTTGTGGCAACATCATGGAGTGGAAGAAGCTACTTGGGAACCGGAGCTGGAAATGCGGGAGAAGTATCCATTTCTGTTCGTTACTGGAGGTAAGTTTCGAGGACGAAACTTTCTTTAAGGGGGGTGGATTGTAATACCCCACATGCGTTTAAAAAAAAAAAAAAAATAAAAGACATAGGTGTTCAGTAATTATTTCATTTGAAATGTTAAAATAGTATAACTCAAGGAAAGAGTAGTTAAAAGATTAGTTTCGGTATGAAAATGTACAAAATAAATCATAAAAGAACTTGAACTAATTAGGTCGATGTAGAAAAGTATGTAGGATAAGTTAGGATTAAAGTTGGAAGGATTGGAAGTGAAAAGGGGCGCCCAAATGGGCGCTGGGGCGCTGCTCCGGGTACATTGCCTACTCCGGACCAGTTGTCGTAGAATCGTCATAACTCTTGCTACAATGGTCCGATTGAGCTGAAATTTTGACACAATGCAGAAGACATCTAGATCTACAACTTTCATGTTTTGCACTTTTTCAGATTCAAAGTTTATCATGATCAAAAATAAGGAAAACAGTAAGTCTGGAAAACCCCCAAAACAGACGATGAACAGTAAAAGTCGGGATTTTTGGGTTTTAAAACATCCATTCCAAGCCCTATTTCTCCCATTCTTCATTTCCCTCCCACTCTAAATACCTTAGAGCCCTAAGAGAAGAGAAAAGGGAGAGAAAAACACCAAGGTCAAGAGAGATTCCCACCTCATAAAGATCAAAACCGAATTTCTCAAGTTTTCTCTTCTCCACCCATTTCTTTTGCTTCTATTCCTCAACCACTCACACCCAAATCTCTAGAAACCCTAGGAGGACGAAATTAAGAGGAAAAGGAAGGAGAATAGGAAGATTTTGAATCTTGGGTCTTAGATTGAAGCTACAACCAAGAGGTAGGGGATTTCTTCCTAATTTCTTACATTGAGGCTAGGGTTTATGTATATACATATGTTTCCACTCCCATCCATATTTATTTGATATGATTTGTATGATTCTTAATTCTCCTTGTAATAAATGCTATGTTTGAATAATGGGATGGTTTGGTAACCATTAAATTTCTCTTTTTCATCTTCCAAACTTGGTTTTAAGAAAAATTGAGTTTTCTCCATATATTGCCTTGGTTCTCACTTTATAAATTTAGTGTTCGATATTGTTCAACGAAAATGATCTTTATATTGATCTTTTGCTCATTTTAATTCCATCTTGCTATGACGCTTTACTTGTGAAATTTGGGTATTTTGCGATTAATTGGTAAAATGTGAATTGATTGAGAATATGTTGGTTTACTCATTGTATGGTGGTTGTGAGGGACTTGGATTACCTACGAGATATGCCGTAGAGTGTAAATGTCAGTTGAACCCAGTGGGGGGGGAGATGGTTTCTTGCACTTGTAGTGAGTTGTCATTTGGTAATGCGACCACTATCGTACGCCTGGAGTTCGAACTAGGGTTGGTATACCATTCCTGGGGAGGGACTCGTCACTGCCATTGGGATGGTAGACGCCCCTTCCCTAAGTACTGTGATTGTGATTATAAAAGGGTGGACTAGGTATAATCGTTGGGTAGATTCATGAGAAACAATCAACATACATGGTACGGGGATGAACCAACATAAATGTGATGATTGGCTGGAATGGCTTGGCCGGTGCATTGGTATGGGACGATGCATCGGAGGGAGCCCCTCCTAATTGACTTAATGTTGGAAATGGTTTGCTATGGTTAAACTTAATTTATTTCTCTCCTTAACTACTGTATGGCTTAAACTTGAGATCTATTTAAAATGTCCTGTTTTACTTCAAATTCATATATGTTATTTATGAAATGTGACCGACCAGTTTTGTATTTTATAAACCTTGTTGGAGTTGGGAAGATTTTGCTACAGAGCCTAGTGCTCATCCCCTACTGTTAACATTTTTCAGACTATATCCTTGAGGAGGAGCCAGGAGTCGAGGAGCCCGTTCTTTGGGAGACTCCGATCGACGGGAGCGTAGATCCCGAGGTGGACGCCTAGAGCGGCCCTTCTATTTTGTTCTAGACTAGGCTATTTTTTTTTTGGAAAGATTGTAAAGTCTAGTTATCTTTTGAAATTCCGCTGCTTATCATAGTTTAATTCTTTGGGAATGTACCTGCCATTGTGGGCATATTTTTTTGGGTAACATGTAAATTTGATGGATTGATTATATAGTAGTTAATTGGACCCGGTGTGGTCATTATAGTAGAATTGCACAGGTTGGATTTTGTGGTAGAGCTCCCCGTACAAAGGAGACTCTGCCCGAATTTTGTTAAAATATCAATGGTTGATGGATAAAAATTTCTTATTTATGGATTTATTTAGTGCTCTCATGATTGTGAAAGGTTTTAGAATGTAATGCCGTCCGAGGGGGTATTTGGGGCGTTACACTCATACTTCCACAAGTTCTTGTAGAAAATCGTTTCTGGTACAATAAACCATTTCCACAAGTTCTTGTAGAGTCCCATACCTTCATAAGCTCCTGTAGGAAACCAATTCCACACAATAACAATAATCGTTCAATAGTGTCATCCATATTCTCATGTTTGTTGGTTGCTTCCCATGAATCTACATAACCACTCTACCTCATTCTCCCAATCATAACCACACAAACCACTTTAGGAGGGCGTATACCGTCTCCCATAGCATTGACGAATCCTTCCCAAGAAAGGTATATCATCCCTAAGCCTCGAACTTACTTCATCAATAGTGGTTGCTTTCACAAACAAGAAACCACTACAAGTGTTAGGAAATCATCTCATGCCCACTAGGATAGACTAACCTCTAACACTCTACGGCAGTGCTCGAATGCAATTCAAGTCCGTCACCACAACCATACAAGAGATAGAATTCCAACCAAATTCTCAAATCATGAGTAAATCATAAATCTCCAAATTTCATTGGCATTTTTCCAATAGAACAATTTAAGAAATTAAGCAAGAGATCATCATAAACACCATTTTATTACTCAACACAAAGCACTAGGGTTTCGAAATCAAGAAAAAAGGAAGAATCAAGAGGAAAATTCATCTCTTTTGAAAACTAGGGTTTTATGAAAAGAAAAGAAAATCTCATAGTTATATAACCATAGCTTTTTTTAAATATGGTAATGATTACAAAAATCTCAAGGAATCATGATTTCATAGCATATACATATGATTAAGAGTGGAAACATACATATACATACATGCCCTAGCCTCAATGGACAAGAATGGAAGGAACCCCTACCTTGGTGTTCTTGAAAAAACTAGGGATTGATCCAATCCAATGTACAAATCCCCTTTGATCTTGTGTTTTTCTCTCTCTTTCTTCCTCTCCAAGCTTTCCTAGGGTTAGAGATGTTGAAATGGGCTAAAGAAGTTGTCCTTAAGTATTTATAATGGAAGGAAGGCCGGGTGTTCGCGACTTAAAAATTCAGATTTTTAGAAAACCTTCCGGAAGGGTTGCCTACTGGACAAACATTTTCATTAACCTTCCAGAAGGTTTTTCATCGACCTTCCGGAAGGTTTGCCTACTGGACAAACTTTTCCATTATCCTTCTGGAAGAACATTACTTTAACATTCCAAAAGGTTTTCATTGACCTTTCGAATGGTTTTGCCCATTGGATTAGCATTTACCTTAACCTTCTGAAAGGTTTTTATCGACCTTCCGGAAGGTTTTGCCTATTTTTCTACAAATCCTTCATTCTTCATTTTCAACCCATTCCAATCCGTTCCACAACCATCCAAAACCATCCCAAACTTATACCAAATACATTTGTACATCAAACCTAGTTAGTACAAGTTCTATTACAATGATTTCATATATTTACAAGCTAAAACTAAGTTTTAACTACTATGGACTCAAAATTTTCCATATTAACATTTCAAAAGAAATGATTACTTGCTATATAAAGGTAAGAGTATGGTGGTTTACAATATATATACACTTTTCATTGTTGTAAAGCAGATTTATTGAGCATTTGTTAATTTTTATTCTTCTCATTTTTCTTTAGGTGTGGACAACTTCTAATTGGAATGTCAAATACGAAGTTTTCTTATTATTAAGCAGTAATCCAAGGATACTAATATGCCTTTTATTTCATCAGAAGTTTTATATGATTGGACGGAACAAGAACAAAACCATTTGGAGAGTATTGAAAATTGATAGGTCTGAGCCTTCAATTTTAGACATTATTGAGGATTCAATGACATATTCAAAAAGAGATTGCTATGACCTGATGAAAAGAATACATGAAGGCAACAAGTCTACAAGTGGCCTTAAATTTATCACCAATTGTTATGGAATCGCTAGTATGTTATATATTTCAATTGACATCTACCCTACAAGAGGGTGAACATGGGATTCCATGCACATTCCAAGGCATATAGACACTTTGCAGTAGCATCTGTAGACATTTTTTATTCACCCAAAAATCTAAAATACTTCGCCAATGTTATGAGATATTCTTTATGATAACGATGGTACAAGAGAATACTTGTTATACCATTAAGATCATGTATTGCTTTGGCAGCTTCAAAAGCTCTATGAGCTTGCCTATAGGAAGATGAATGTACATACCTGAAATAGTGATATCCTTCTCTAGTTTCAAGAAGTTCCATGGATAAAGATCCATCCCAACGAGGCCAATGTTCCGATGGAGAGACAAGAATAGTCCTCCTATGATTGTGGCTTCCACATCAACCTCCACATATCTGTCTAGAAGTTCTTGTTTGGTTACTTTTTTCAAATGAACTCACTACTTTAGAGCCAAATATTCTCCACAACTCATTTTCTGCACTAAGAAATTTTGGGTCAACTTGTAAAATGGATGATGTGCATTGCTTCACCACGCTACCACTAGCATTTAGATTTGGTTTAGCTTTTACTGGATGAGAATCGCCAGACTGACGACTAGAACCATCAACTCCAAAAGATAAGTTTTCTAACATCACATCTATACGGTTGTTAGCATTATGTCTATTTGAAAATGAATGTTCCTTGCTTTTCTTCTTTTTATTTTTCTTTGACTTGTGATTAGGAGATGGAACTCTATTTACAATAGATTTCCCTGTTGGGGGTTCATTGACATCAATGTTTCCTATCAATGATTCGTCAGCTATTTCTGACTCATTTCCCTGTGGCTGATCATTGTCGTTGAGGAGATCGATGGGATTTTTAGAGGAATGAGTGGACAAATCAGGCGACTCAAACTCATTGCCGCTGTTGAGCTACTACTCTTCTGTTCCAGGCTGGCTCTGCTGCGTTGCTGCTTCTTGTTCATTGAGAATTTTCCTCAGTAGTCAAACAGACATTGTTAAGCTAGCAATTCTCTAATTCAATCTCCTCCCGCTGGTATGTTATATAACTTGAAGTTTTACCTACCGAAATAAATTGTTGTTTTGTTCAGTATAGAATGCATACCTTTTCTCTGACTTTAAGATTCATAGAGTTTGGGACTATATTACATGCTGCTTATAACAAAAAGAAGGAAGATCAGTGTAATCTGTGGTCATTTAGTAAATGGCATTACCAAGAGCGAGATTATTCCAATTCCCAATTCTACTGTGCGATCAAATATGGCTATTTCTAAGAATGAGAACAGATCTTTTGTCAATTTTGCATGTAAATGTAAAATGTCCTTCGTACTTCTGAGACATAAGAGATTAGAACTCAAGAGTTGTTACTATCCACTTTTATCTAGATTAGCATTGCCTTTCAATGTGTTTATTTTTTTAAAAACAAATTTTGGATGTTTAGTTTGAGTTTGGGCCTCATCTTCGAATAAGAAACAAGTTTTACATTGTGGAGGGAATCTCTGTACTATTTTCTGAATACACCCTGTAGTGTTGTGTCAATGATGTGGGCTTATTTGCTTCAGGCTGACTACATAGCCATTTGATAGCTTTAATTCCCTCTTTTTCAAAGGTGAAACAAAGAGTGGAATTACAAAATCTCTATATGTAGGAAATATTAAGTGCTATAGTGAATGTATCCTCACTAGATACATGTGTTACTTAGAGGCCATTGCCAGTTCATTTACTGCGAATTCACAGGGGCAAAGTTCATTATTGTTCTGATGTTAATATAACATATTGAATGAGACAAGATATCATCTGGGTTTCAGGGGGAAGTTGATTTTTGATTATTTAATTTTATTTTTTCAGTCAACATCTTTTTACCTCCTCTATTTTCCTCTTTTGCTCAATTTATTGGACTTGTCATTTACTTAATTTGCTTTTGCACTTTTTTACCTGCTGATGACATAGATACAAGAAGCTCCTATGCATAGTGGACCTTACAAAGGACTTCTTTTTCATCTATTCCTACCATGTCATGCATAGTCTTTAGAAGAACTTATGTGATCCTAGGATAAGGCAATCTCTTTATAAAACAATGTTTGTTTGGAATGAGTTCTTAACTCGTAGAATCTGCACTCACCTCAACAACAGTATGTGGATAATTGCATTGGTATATGGGTTCTTTAAATAGGTATTCAATATTTTAATGCTTCTTTCAATTCATAGACAACAAAAATTATATACAAAAATGTAATGTAGGGGAATTCTATTAGTTCATAATTTATTCTTTCCCATCTTAGCTTATGTAATAGGACCTTGACATGATTCATTGTGGTAAACATCTGGTAGGAACCTTTTTTCTTTTTTACAATTTTTTTTGGATTTTCATAACATTTTTCATGTTTAGTTTGAGAAGAATGGTTCTACATGTCGGTGCTTTACTAATGTGGACAATCTCATGATAAGTTGGATGTCGCTTTGTTTACCTGCCGAGATTCAGGTCTTAAGTGCAAATAACTAACCGAGAAACACATATTTAGTTCGTCAATCCTACTGACCTTGAAGATAGTTTTCACAGCTTTGTTGTCTTGCCAAATGACCATATAATCTTTCTACAGGATTAGAGTCCCTAATATTTATGTTTGCTTGCTTTGAAATTCTTTTGTCTCGTTGAATAGTTGTGGCTACGTTCTACAAAGTGCTTGGTCTGGTATTACCTTCTTCAATTATTTAAAAGATTTGATGATTGCAAACAATTGAATTGTTAGGGTTTTGGAGAATAAGAGAGAAAAAGATTAAGAAAAGTGTGTATTGTATTAGGTTAAACAACTACAACATATATATGTTTTTTTCTCCTCCCAAAAATTTGCCTTTAATTGGGGCATGTATCAAGAATCAAGAAAAGTCAAATCTACTGCCTATGAGGCAAGGATTCATGAAAAGCCAAAGCTCCTCTTAAATGTGGTAGCACTTAAATATTTGCTTCAAAGCCAAAGCTCTTGCTTTGAAGAGAGCAAGCTCGAAAAATTTTGTTGATTAAATATTGACGATTTTTTCCTTTAGAATAACACAGTGTCTTCAAATAAGGATTTTTTTTTAATGTCATAGGTTTGCAAATCCCTATGAATTGACTTTTGAGTAAATTTTTCTAAGTGTTGCTATGAGTTTTAATTTTGTATATAGTTCCAAGCGTATTGATTTTACTGATTTTCAGTTTAAATTTATGTAATTGAGTTTTCTCTATCTCTTTATACAGGTAATGCTTTGTTGAATATGTATGCAAAGTATGGGTGTATTAAGAATGCAGTTTAGACATTTGGTAATTTGGTTGAGCCTAAATTGTGTCCATATTCAGTGTTTCATTATTTTGTGTCCATGATCAATGTTTGAAATTTGTTTTCAAGATAATTTTGGCAATTTTTTATTTCCTGATTCATACTTTCTCTTATGGAATATGGAATTCTCATTCAAATTTTAGGTTTTAGAAGTAGCATTGAAAGGCATATGCAGCTTTCTAGATATACGTAAGAGATTTCTTTTGCATATTGGTCTTGATCAATTATATTTTTCATTTAGTTTTATAACAGGATTTCTTTTGCCCATTTCCATTCTTGCATCAAGTAAAGCCAAGTTTCTGTTGTTCATATTGTTATGCAAATAAGATCTTAAATTCAATTTTTTTGATATTTATGTGTATGAGACTTTTCACAGTTAAATTGGAAACTTTACCAATACAGTTAAATTAGCTTTTATGTTTCTTTTACAATTTATGTTGTATTTCATGGGTTTTTGAATGGATATTTTGTTCCAAATTTGAATATTTGAAATGGGTTGTGGTTGAATAGACCAATTCTTCATGGGCAATGTTTTTTGTTGATGAATGTTTCTACAGATTTTGCACATCTCCCATCCCACCCAGACCCACATGCATACACACACAAAACAAGGAGGAATGGTTTCTAGAAAATTTACAAGAAAACTCATAACTCCATAGGTGGATAACTTTGGGTAAAGATGGTTAGAAAAATGTAATAATGAAGAAATTACAAAATGAGAATTGTACAATTACTTTAGGTAAACCCAGTTTGATTAAATGTAACTTGAATTCGATTTGATAAGGTTCAATGAATTTTGTAATTACTTTATGTCAAATTTTATTTGTAATTATTTTATGTTTGAATTATGTAATTTGAATGTGATTTTATAAGGATTGCTAATTGCATGTGTAGAGATTTGAAAAGTAAGGATAAAATTTTCAGTTTTGCCTTTAGGGCACTACATATGTATCATTTAGGTATAAGTCATATTTAAGAGCATAATTTGAGTATGTATAGAAGAGAAATATGCTTAGAATGTTAAAATACACCTACTGTGTGAATTTGAACCTAAACGGAAATAGTTTCAAAAATTAAACAAAAAAGGTATTTCGGGCAGCCTAGGTGGGACCGGCCAAACCCGGCCACTAGTGAAAATATATATTTTTGTAATTTTTTCTTTAAAATAATTTTAAGAACTTTTGTTAAAATAAAATGTCGAATTGAGGAGTTTCGGGACGAATTGTAGTGTAATAGGGTCTCGGATTCATCAAGGGCAAAAGGGTCTATTGCACCTTTGCTCTCCACTATAAATACAGGCTTTTAGTGTAAAAATATCAATGTTTTTGGGCTGAGAAGGGTTAGTACACGTTTTCGGAGGAAAAGTGAAGAAAAATCCCAGGTTCTTCAAGCTTTAAGCCACCAAAACTCAATCCTAGGCCAAGATTCTTGCAAGACTTCCTTCTAAGAAGTTGTTTCTCTCAACAAGAGCTATATTATCACTAATTGGTTCGGCTATAAAGCGAACACCACTTCCTTGGTTTGAGAAAAACCATTTTAGGTATGATATTTTGCTAAGTTGAGAATAGATTTAAGTTTTCTTGTCTTCCTACATGTTGATTGAATGATTTAGGTGTTTACTTGATGTTAAAAAATCATTTAGTTTGTAGTTTCTTTGAAAACTTAGAATTTGTGGTTTAAGTACTTTTGTATTCTTTGACTTTCTTGACAATTTGATGCTATGGTGAAAGTGTATATTGCTTATGTGTTGAATTATTATATTATGACTTATGTTCATGTAGAGAAACCCCTTGTGGTTTGAGAGTTATGATTTATTACATGAGTTGGTAGTTTGTGTATTTGTAGTTTCTTTGAGAAATTGTGAAAGTAATGAATATGAAGCTTGATCATATGTTTAAATTCATTGAATGGTGCTTCACATTTATGTAGATAAGGTGTTTGATGAAATGTTTCATAGGAATGTGAAGCTTGATCATATGTTTAATCCATTGAATGGTGCTTCACATTCATGTAGATAAGGTGTTTGACGAAATGTTTCATAGAATTTATATTGAGAAAAATCATGGCATCTTGACATACATGAATCCTTAGAACATAGTGTGGGTTGAGCACTTGGTGCTATGCATTGTGAGGGTGTAGATCTTGTGATGAAAAACCCAAAATATGGCCAATGACAGTACGTGTAGGTTGATGGGGACGGACCGTGAAGCGACACATGGGTGGCATAGAGTTGCATGGGTTTGTCATGCATATTGACATTGCATAGCATTGAGAGATTATGAGATTGTAACTTTTAAAATTGTACACTTACACATGTCATGCCTTAAATTCGTTCCTAGCGTTAGCACTTAATCATACCAGCAGTTGAGCTGACCCATTCGTGGGATATCATATTACAGATGAGGCTCCCGGTACTTGAGCCTTAAGGAAGTCTTAGAGGAAGGAGAGGAAAGGGACTTGAATGTATATTTGGCCATTGGGCATATTTTGTATGTATGGGCATAAGCCCAAATGAATTGTATTCTAGTTTGAAAAAGTAGTGGATTAAAGGTCTTGGACCATTTTAATGTGTAAGAGTGTAAACTCA